GAACGCCCCATAGCGCGCCGGCTCGGCAGAAACTTCCATGGTGCCTCTTTCTGGCGTTCCTATTTTTCCTGTTACGAGTCGCGAATATCGCAGCCGGAGCACCGCTGTCTGTCTCGGCCGCGGTCCTCGCGCTTCTCCCTACCGTTGGACCGCGATACTATATACTCTTACACGTTCCTCTCGGCGTGGCTCGCCTCGGTCTCCCGTCCGTACGGCCGTCGGTCCGTTTACTAAACTTAGACCCCATTCAGAATGATGGCACACGGTCTCGAGAAGTTGGCCGGCCGCGGGACGGTATCGTTTCGTGGCACGTTTCCTGCCGACCGTAAACAACGGAGCACACGCACGGGACCAGCGATTCCGTCGTAACGTCCGCGCGTTTAACGCGTTAAGCGCCGTGTCAGTCACCGGTGACTGACGCTTCTGAACGACTAAAAAGCAGTCGTAACGTACAAGACAACCGATGTGAAATAAAAATGTTTAACGAGGCAACTGAGTTGATAATAGTATAACGCAAACGTTGCAACGCCAAACAGTTCGTAATTATTCCTACTTCTGTTTGCTACGAAAGACAAACTCTATGGGAAAACGCTTAAGATTTTCGTGGCCGAACGCTTCTCGACAAAAATTGTCCATGTTTCTGTAAAAAATTATGTCACCCGAATACGGGTGACGTGGCAGTCAATGTGCTAAGCTGCAATTGAATGAACTGACGTCAGTTAGTAGCTGATGTAGGCACACGGTTGAAAAAGAGTTCGTAAATATGTAGCCCGAGATTATTGGAAATTAGGAATTAGAGATTAGATATTGGGCGAGATTAGATATAGAGATCCTCCTCGAACTGAGGCAAACTTGGTCTCGGATCCTCTTCGGGAAAGCTGCGATAATCTCGAGATACCTGTACCCGCGCCGTGTATGTTTCAATAACGAGTCGAAAAAACTACGAAGCGTTTCTAATTGAAAATCTTGGAGCGCGAACGATTAACTTCGACATTCGCCTCTCTTATCGCGGATCACTTTGGAAAGCGAACGACTCGTCCGGCAGAACGCGAGCGGTTCCGTTCGAAAGGTTTCATACTCCGAATTTCATGCGTTCGCTGGAAACCGATTGGTTCCGAACGTCGTGGTCTGTTTTTTTTTCGGGCAGAACGACGTTGATCGATCGCCGAGCCGGCCCCGTCGCCTCGATTAACACGTCCCGAGTTCTTTTTAGGACGTTTAATCCGCGATCTCCGGTTGCCACCGTCCGAACTCGAAATACGCTGACGTGGATATGCAATTTCCGTTCGGCTCGCGGGAAGATCGATTAGAGTAGAGAAATCCGACGGGTCCGTGTCAAAGTGACGGTGATCGTTCGCCCGGAGATCGGCGCGCAGCCCTCGATCGATTCTTTTTATAGCGGACCGCGCGAGCAGCTTAATATAATTCCCTGACGAGACTAATTAAATCGCAGGAAGCGAATGTGTTTCTGCGCCCCGTCGAGCGATCGCTTCCGGACGGGAAGTGCGGCGCTAATCACCGGATATATCGGGCGACAAACGTCGGTATTAATCAGCGGCGCAGTTCGCTAACGGTGCCGCGTATCGGTCCGTCGACGTACGAGATAGATAACGCGTCGCTCGGATATTCGAAGGCACGGCTGGAACGATGCGGTTTCAGCTATTCGTCCTGCAGAATCGCGAGAAGCTTCTCTATTAACCGTTAGCACTCCAGATGGTTTTGTAATTGATCAGCAACTGCGACTAACTTTTATGGCATCTCTAGTGAAAATGAAAAATGCTGTAACATTCCTTCAATCTTTTATTTTCCTTAGTAGATAATTTCGATGTGTGGAAAATCTAATAATTTTGGGGTAGTCTCTGTAAAATCAGTAGTCCATTCGAGTACTGTATCGAATGTCTGGAGAAACCGAAAATAATCTATCGTCACGATATTTATAAGGATTGCATAAAAATCGTATTAAACGCAAATCTATCGATAACGATGGGAGAACAGGACAGAAATCAACGGAAAGACATACAGCAGGAAAGCAACGACAGAATCCGCAGTATTCTAATCGCTCGAATCGACGTGGAATATCCGTAGCAACTTTCGAGCGCGAATGCTCGCATCCCGAGTACCCGGATGACAGTATAACACAATATTTACGTAATATCGTTTACGTAACCCCGCGTAAAATGCTGACAATCGCCAGGGACGAGGCGTCGTTAGAAGCGAGAACGGAGCGTTCCAAACGACGGAGGCCTGTTACGGAGGAAAGCTCGGAGCGGCGAGCGGCGACGGGGCGAACACTTTCTCGAGACGCTGCAATTATGTATACATATGGTAATGTCGCCCGGTAGGACGGCGGAGAGTGTCGAAAATCGGACGATCGCAGCACCATAAAAGTAACGCGGCGGAGAGGAAGGCGAGAAGGACACCGCGAGGACGAGAATAAGGCTCTCGAGGCCTCCGCGGAGCGGGCAGGATCGGCCGCGTGTGGGCATATCGGTCTTTCGGCGTGGGTTTTCGGGCCGGGCCAAGCATATTCGACCGGTCATTGTCCATCGATCGGCGCAACGCGTTCTCGCGCGGCTGGCTTTACGCCCTCCGCCGTTCGGCGAGCAAGTTTCCTCCTCGGGGAGCCCTGCCTTTCATGGCCCTCTGCGTCCTCGGTCACCGCGGACACCTTTGCCGGGCCTCGGCCTCGGGGATTCATGGGGTTCAGGGGATTTCGGAACGGGGAGACGATCCATTTCGGAATAGGCTGCTAATGGCTTTCTTGCGATTGTTTCGCGCGATATTGTAACGTGTTATTCATAGATTTCACCCTTTGAGGACGAAGATTCTTCAAAGAACAGAAAACCAGATTCGGAAAAATTATGTATTATGCTTGAATAATAGAGAAAAGGGAAACTATGCACTGGTCTCTTGCTATTTGAGTTAACCCTTTGCACTCGAAAGCTTTTCACTGGAAATGTTTAAAGTAATTTCATTCGAATATTTCCTATAGCAGCACAAAGTTTCATTTAAAATAATATATATTCAATTATATAGTTTTATAGTACGGTAAAATCGTCAAAGTTTCACTTTCATATTTTTCTACTCGAGAACCGAAGTTCGAAGTTTTGCTCGAAGTTCGCTACGGTTCTCGCAATCCAAGCGTGGAACTTCGGGCCGCGTCGTTTTCTTCGAAAAAGTCATTTCGGTTAATGGAGCTTGATACAATTGGCTCGGGGGCGGGATTCCGAGAAGCCCGTGCTCGCCCGGCGATATCCCCGTTCGATCTTGATTTTCAGCCGAGGCGAGCGGTTTCCAGAAAACTGCTGGCATCCTGGCGAGGATCGGCGTAATTAGCTTAATCAAGAAAACCTCGAACAGAGAGGCCAGAGTCCTGTGAACAGGCTGGCTGGCTAATTGCCCGTAATTACAGGCATCCTTTCGAAAGACAAGCGGCAATCTATGCGTGTCTTCGAGCGAACTCGCGTCCGGGTTTGTCGCCCACTTGGCGCTGTTGCAGCTGCAGGTGTGTCCCGCAGCAATTGCGAGCCCCCGAACGGCCGTTCTCGAGGTTTCCCTGTTGCCGCGCGAGATCCTAAGGACTGTCGCTGGATTTATGCGATCGTCGCTTCAGCTCGAACCAGACGCGTCTGCCAATCAAAACTCATTTCGAGTATTCAAAGCTTTTAAGGTATCAGTTGCTGAAAAACGAGAAAACCAGCCAAAATGGAACTCTTGAGGAACTCTCAACGCGAGTTCCAGTATTTGCACCACGGCAATAAGATCTCAAGGATCACGTTGGATCAAATGAAATTTATTTCTTTGCATCCTAATCATCTAGCTCCGTTCCTGTTATTAGCTTAGTAATGGGAAAACAGAACGATCGCGCTAGTTACAATGTTTCCGAGTAAAAACAAGAGCATCGTTCGGTTTCCTGAAACGAAAGCCGGCCACTCGCCACTCTCCGACCGGGATTTCGCGAAGACCGTGGTACAACGGTTACAGAAGTGTTCGATCGAATCGGAAAGCAACTGTAAAGTGAATCGACTAGAAAAGTGAACAGTTCCTATCGACGACTCGATGGGCGTTTGAGCTTTAGCAGAGAGAAATCCGTTTCCCCGAGCGAAAGATTTCTCGATGGACGAGGACTAAAGGTGGCGATCCCCGGGAAAAAGAAGAGGCCGGTCCGATGTGCCGCGGCCCACAGGATCCAGCGGCCCACGTGTCGCGCGTGCGTCTGCCTACTCGGTCCGCGCCGATCCTCGGCCGGCATTCACGGCGAAAACGTATTATACGGCACCTATACGTCCGAGCCGGGCCTGACGACGCGCAATGCTCAGGTACTCGGTTTTCTCTTGACTTCCGGTCGCGGAAAGGAATGCATAGGCGGAGCCATACCCACGCAACGAGACACGCTCCGATCGTGGCCGCAGGAGAGACGGCAACGGTGCGGCACCGTGCTCGCGGGACAAATTTTATTCGATCGCAGCTCCGTTGCATTCCTCTTTCCTCCTTCGCACGATTCTCACCGTGCTTCTTTTCCATTGCGAGCACTCTCGCGATCGTCTTTGCTTTAATCGTCATTAAAAATATACTTCATTCTCAACAGTGACAATGAGTCGCTGGAAGGCGAATGAATAGACTCGATTTGATTCTGCGAATCGATACGGCAGTTTTAGGCGGTAATCATTCCTTGAAATAAAATGATGATTAACAACGTCAGGTGTTGTTCCGACGAAACGAAGCCGACGCATCACTAAGCCGATTCTCGAGAAGGATGATCTAACTTCTGCCTGAAATGATACGTTCGCTCGCTGCGCCGAAAATCCTTGGAAGTGTAATTACATGTAAATCATCCTCCACATATGGGAACGCGATTAACGCCGGCGCGATTCTGCTCTTGACACTCCGCCTATCCTTTTACCTTATTCCTCGAGCGGAGCTGGAAAAGACGCGGCACGCGCGATGCTCGTCGAAGGTGTTCCATGGGGAATCAACCGGGTTTCGTCTTGTTGTTGCAGTTCGTCGAGTTGGGCATGGTCACGAGCATAGAGTACAACCACAAGCCGGTGGAGTCCGCGAGGAAGGGCCAGGAGGTTTGCGTGAAGATCGAGCCGATACCCGGCGAGGCGCCGAAAATGTTCGGCCGCCACTTCGACGAGAAGGACTTCGTCATCAGCAAGGTGAGTTCCCGCCGGTTCCGCGCGGACGACGCGGGTTCCAGCAGCGAGTTCTCGAGACGAGCGATCGCTGGAAGACGCGCTGATCTCATTTCCTCGGCGAAACTTGTAAACGGGCGAACACGCGATTCGAGCGCGATCTTTGAGTCACCGAGGCCTTCGCAGCCCGTCAGCCTCTCTTTTCGTTCGGATTCTATTATCGGGATTAATTGCACTCGAGTATTTCGTTCGTTCCTCGTGGATCGAAGGTTGCGAGAAATTTCTGTCGACGTTCGAAGGAAAAAGTATGTTCTGAGAATGTTGCTAAATAGTGCAACGTTTTGATGACATGAAACGTTTATACTTGGAAGACTCGAGGAAATGATTTCATTAGTCAACAAGAAAGCGCGTTTCCTCTTTCTCTATTAATTAAGGGATTGATAAGCTTGATCTGCTGACGGTTCGTACATTTCGAAGAATCTCCAATCGCGAAGAGTTAACCCTTTGCACTCCAGAAGTTTTTCAGTGCTCAATATTTTCTAATGAGATACAGATGACATTTTCTTAGATCGAATTAAGAAACCTCACATGCATCGAGGAGGAGAACTATTTTCTCTCAATATTTCGTACATCGATGCATTATAAGTTTACTATTAAATATCAATCTTCACAGTTTCGCCGTGTTAAATCGTTCGGCGACTGAGAGGCGCCTCTGGAGTGCAAAGGGTTAATATATATATACATGTACCTAAGAACAGTACCGTAGCGAATACATTATTTTCGAAAGAAACCTTGACAAACGAGCGCGCCCGTTCGCGGAGAAGTTGCTCGACCTCGAGTTCAGTCTCCGCGTAATTAAAGTAGCCCGTTGCGAAGCTCCCCCGATCCGGCAAGAAGTTCAAACGGCATTCAAATAAAAGAGAAACGCAAGCGGTGTGTCGGTAGAATTTCAATGAAAGCTGCGACGTGAACCGTAAGGCGTAGCAGGATTAAACGCGAAGTAAAAGCGGGCGGAAAAAGCGAGGAATCAGCGGGGTTCGGAGTTCCGTTCGAGGAGGCAGCTGCTCCGATGGAATCCGATCGACAGGTGGTCCCGGGGGACTTTGATGAAATTCCGGCAGCGGGCCATCGCCGACACATTCGGTTTCGTTTTCTTTTCCGGCGGGGCTTCCCGCGACCGAACCGCTCGATCCGCGTAGCTTCGCAATTTCATCGAAATCAGTGGCAAGCGAGACGGAAACGATCCTTATTAGTATGCGAGACTCTGGTCGAAAAAGGAAGATGCACATCCGGCAGCGATCAGCCGTCCACCATCGACTTCCGCTCTTCGCAGAACCTCCGTTCCTTTCTTGCTACTCCTCCTCTCTCTCTTCCTCTCTCTCTCTCTCTCTCTCTCTCTCACCGTATTTCCCCTCTCCGTCTCTCCTTTCCCCTCCAGAAGCCGCGGCGCGGCTCGCGTTGCCCTCGCCTCGCCTCTTTCTTTTCCGTCTTCCGCTTCGGATATCGACTACGAATCGATCGCGGTCACGAAAAACGTGTGCTCCCGATCGTCCGTCGTTCCCTGGAACGAAACGTCGAGCTTTATCGGCCCGGGATCGTCACGGCGCGTTCGCCGACCGGCTCCAAGGAAATTTCGATCGTTCCGAGCAGGAAAACGAAGCTTCTCGGTAGAGTTACGTGCACTTCCGCTCGATGTTCGATTCGCGGGTACGGACGGTTTCTAGTGGAACGGAGGAGAGGAAGAACGAAAAACTAGAATCCGGTTGGTCCGTTTAGAAGGATGATCGTCGACGAAACGCTCGAAGAGATCGACGAGAGACGTTCGCCGCACGCCCTCGGCCTCGCGTAATCACTGGCAACCGCGAGCGCATTAAATCCGATGAGCTATTAATAATTAATAAGGTTAATCGTGTCTCACGATTCTAGTCGCTCGTTAATTGTAATTACACCGTGGCCGGCGATCGCAGTCGTTCATTAGCGATCCGAATGCACGGTAATCGCAGCCACCGGTCGATCTCTAATCGGCTCGCGTTCTGCCGAGCTGCGCTCCGCCCGGATTTCGGTGTCTATCCGCGTTTTCCGGTCGCGAACACGAACGCTCGCGCTCACGCGCTCGACTCACGCACGCGCGTACACACCGAGAAAGCGGCTAGCGCGCGTGCATCGCTCGTTCGCCGCGCGGCAGCGCGCTGCGACCGGAAGTCGTCGTTACCGTTTGCTTCGTGGAATCGATTCCCCGGAATCACCTTGTTCCCACGATGATTTGTGGAGCGACGATTCCGCGCGGACTACGCGAACACCCGCCGCAGTCCTCTCGCGTTTCCCTTCTTCTCTCGATTCCCTTCTTTCTCGGATTCTGCCGCGCTCATCTTCGCTGGCCTGCATGGAAACGGTTAACCCTTTGCACTCCCAAGTTTTTCGCTAGAAATATTTCAACATTTTCTGATGAGATGAAGTGTAGGAAAACTGTAGGAAATCAAGTGGTGAGAGTCACCTCCCGAGTGCAAAGGGTTAATTCCGGAAAAGAAAAATTGGAGGACTTCATGTTCTCGCTTCTGAGACGATTATACGTCTCGCAAATCAAAGCGATTTCGAGCATCGATCGTTTCTTTCAGTTAATAATATTCTGTTCGTAAAGTCTTCTTGTATCGAACGATTGAGCTGACAAGTCTCAATTATACATCGAACTCCCGATCACTTCTGAAAAGAACTGTGCATCTTCTGTCATTCGAATAATCGGAAGTCCCCAATGGTTGAACGGCGTAGTTGCCGTGAAAAGATCGTCGCCCAGAAACGCGTGTTCCGATCGAGACGCGATCGACGGAGGAGCGAAACTCGGGCGATCGTCGCGTCTCGTCTGTCGGTTAAAGTCGGCCGTGTCGAACATCTGGCAGCCGTTGCGCGTGGTCGACAATAACACCGAAAGTGTTGAGCGACGGCGGGACGATTTCGCGGGGCACGCTTCATTTCGGGGAGAATTGATGCGCCCTTTTCTGGGATTCGAGCTATTTAAGGTGATTCGGTGGTTCGAGGATGAAAGGAAAAAGGAGGAGAAGACGAAGCACCGTGCTTCGGGGTTCGGATAGGTCTCGAACCTGAACGCCACGAGGCTCGGCTAATTTTAGGTGACACGACGGGAGAATATTCGGGGACGTTTAGAGGATGCTCGGAGGTCGAAGAGGTCCGCCTTTTAGGCGAGTTCGGTAGTCGTGCTCCGTTTCTCCGAGGGAAGAGCCCCGGACACACCTCCGGATATAATCCTTGGCCCAAGGCTTTCTGCGCTCGGTGCGCACAGGCGCCAAGCTGTCCGAAATGTTTCCTCCACTGTTCGACGATCGATCTGTGTCCTTACACTTCGTCTACCGAGTGGACAATCGAAGCTTCTGTGCAATCGAGAGAGATCTCTTAACACGAATGCCGCACGATTCATAGAGCAAAATACTTGAAATGGGAAAAATATGATATTAAATCATTTGATTGAATTGCATTGTTATTGCCGGTGCATCTAGCTGAATGTCATGAGTTAGCATTATTTATGGTATGGAAATGTTCTCTAATAATCGTGGTTTAATCGAGGGAACTATAGTAATTCGATTTTGTTGGGGGTCACCGGTGGCCCCCATGGCATTCAACGTGTTAATCAAGCGGAAACTAAGAAGTCGAGATTCTCCGTAACAATTACTCTACCCTTACGTCTCATACATGTAACAAAATGTTCGATGCGTTACCAAGAAAATTGATGTACAAGTTTATGAAAGAAATGATGTCACGGAAATTCAGGTGACGTGACAATCAAAGTGTGAACGATGGCATAGCGATCGCGCACGAGATTTCCTGGAAAATGCAGCGATCGAGTGCCGCAGAAACAAAGCTCCGTCTCCCTAGAGGGATCAAAGAAATTTGCATCTCGAGTCCCTCGAAAGAATCGCGTTCCCCCATGAACGGTTCGTGCGGGCTCGGCTTTAGATTTCGCATCGGAGGTATCGAACTCCCCGGCGATCGCCGGCCGCATCGAACCGTCTGCGAAGGTTCGACGATGAGAAGGACCTTTTGATGATCGTGCTACGTTGCGCAGATAGAGGAGCGAGCAGGAGCGAGGCGCGCAGAAACGGACAGAACAGCCCTGGAGAGACAGAGACGCGGAGCAAAAGAGAGTCGGACGGAGAGAGAGAGGAGAGAGGCAAAGAATTATACAGAGGGAGAGATGTGTGAAGTTACTCTGCGCGTGTGTGCACGCGTGCGAGTGTACGTGAGCGAGAGAAAGAGAGAGACGGAGCCGGAGAGAGAGAGGAGGAGAGAGAAAGGCTAGGAGGACGGGAACGGGAAGGAGAAGGAAAGAGAGAGAGAGAGAGCGAGAGAGCGATGAGGAGGAGAGGGAGAAGCAGCAGGGGCGTGGCGGGAGGCAGGCGTCCTCAATAGCCGCGTAAAACCACCATTGTGACCGATCCATGAATGAAACGGGACTTCCGGCCGGGAGTGGGGGCGGAAACAGTTGTAAAGCGTTACGTTAGTGAATGGACCGTGTGCGCGAGCATGCGCCTGTCCTCGCGAAAACCGATTCAAGGAAATTATTCCTAGACGAGGAGGACGACGGCGATCGACGCGCGAGCAAGAGCGCGCGGGACCGCCGCTCGTCTTCCCGGCACCGTCAGCTGGCGCGCTGACAATTCCTCCTCTGTTCGCGAAATTTCTGCGACCGGCGCGGCGTGCGCGTACAATTTCGTCATTGTTTCTCGCGGTTACCACGGACGCAACGCGACCGACTCGTTTCGCGCTGCTTCGCTGGACGCGTTTCGAACCGCGTTGTCTTACGAACGCTGGGGAGCTTCTCTTGGGATTTTAGCTGGTTCGAATCTTCTAGCTACCGTACGCTAGTGAATCGATCGATAGGTTCGAACGCTTGTTACCGGAAGAATCGG